AACCAGCCCAAAAAACATAAAAAAAAAAGGGAAAGGAAAATTTAAGGTGGGGGGGGGTAAAAAAAAAGCTGGTTAAAAAACTGCGCCCAAAAAAAAAGTTTCCCTGAAAAAATGGTAGTTGCCAAATGGTGCTAACTTGAAAAAAAGGTGTAATGCCGGTGTTAAATAATCTCTCCTTTCTTCAAGTGGTGGGAGCTTGAAACCCCCTCTTCTGGCTGCGACAAGACTTGGCTGGTTCCAAACCTCAGCAAATCCAAGGGGACAACGGTATGTAGGTTTTGAGGCCGCCTGGTTTTTGCAAATACCTCGGTCATAATATTGGCCAACTTAGTAATCTTTTGAGGGCAAATAAACGGAAATATTCAGAGTGTTGAATGACGAACCCGAGTATTTTGCATACAATTAGTGAACTTAGAGTTTTTTTCTTCTTGCTCGTCCGTGATACAGGGAGTGTGTCAAAGTTTTGAAGAGGTTCAACAATCCCCACCTCCTGGTTCCGGGGAGGAGGTACACCGTCAGGAAACGTCGCTCGTGCTGGACCTACGAGACGGGCTCTTCTTCTCAGACTCACAGTTGACACAACAACGAACCTCCCCTACACCGTAACTTAACCCACCACCTCCTCTGTCTCACTGTCTGTTCAACGTTCCGTGTTCTTCAGAGCCTTTTGAATATTCTCCCCGATTTCACTCTTCATTCCCTGATTTAGCGTCAAAATTGACAACCAAACACCAGACAGGTATATGCTCAACCTCTCTGTAAGTATACGTGGCTCCAATTCCCTCTCTCTCCCCCCTGTCCCCTCCCTTTCCTGCCAAGTTAACCATAGATAAACCCCCCATAAGGAAAAACATTCGTCAAGACTGTCGTTGAGAACTTGCGACTACTCCACACTCTCCTAAGTGGTTAGCATGCAACAGGCAGAAACTCTGAGATTACTGACATGCAACAGCTCCGTTTAGTCAGAATCCAGATTACTGCAAGCTCAAGATTTAAGTAACTCTAAGATTTACTGAGAAGTGCTTGGTGAATTCGAAGATTTCTAGGAATTGTTCGTCAGGTCCCCCCAACTCATGCTGAAATGGATCTGTCAATGGAGCTGTCCATTTGAACACCAGAATCCCGGCCGTGAAGGGAGAGAGAGAAGGTGGAACATCCGGCTGCGTTCTAATTCCTCTGGAACGGACCATACGAAACCACCTGTCTGAGTGGAGGACTATACACTCCTCTCTTTCATGCTAACACCATTATTTTTACACGACTCATAATTATGCGCATGCGTGTTTTGAAACGGGAAACGGAAGGTGGGCCGGGCTTGAGTCCAGCTGTGTTGCCTTTGCTGTGCAGTCGTGTTGATGGCTCGAGTGAAGGAGCTTGCGCCATGTTGGAGCGGTACTGCAGTGCTGGATGGAGACTTCCAGGAGCTGTCGTCTCAACAGTACAACGGTATGGGCGGTTTACTGCACAGAGCTAGCTATAGCTAGCTATAGCAGAAGGAGGCGGGGCATGTACTTATCAACAAAAATCCAGCGAATTGTACACTCTGTATATATATATTTCCCTCTCTCACCTCTCACCCATCGCTGTCGTCTGCAGGGAAGTACCTCGTTCTTTTCTTCTACCCTAACGACTTGTAAGATTGTGCCGTGAAGCTTGCACGTTTTACTCTCCGTGTGTTTGTGCACGCGCAGCACGTTCGTGTGTCCCACAGAGCTGCTGCAACTAAGCGAGAAGATTCCCGCCTTCGGCAATATCAACTGTGCAGTGGTTGCTTGCTCCTGCGATTCACAGTACTCCCACTTAGCCTGGTGAATTCTCCTTCTTCCTCCTCAAGCTTGAGCGAACATACAATAATTCTTCTCCCGCATGTGTGTCTGTGACTGTGCTCAGGTGTCAGACGGAGCAGAGAAGGGGTGGCTTGGGTGAGGTTGCCTTCCCTATTCTGGCAGATCCGAGTCACAAGATAGCAAGAGACTATGGAGTTCTGGTCGAGTCTCAGGGAGTGGCTCTCAGGTACGTGTGGACCCTGCACCACTTCTTTTGATGAGTTCTTAGTAAAACGTTCTGTGGAAGTTTTTAAGCCTCGTTCTTAGCTGTTTTGTGCACAGACAACTCCAGGGAATAAATAGCCGTGTGTGCTGCATGAATGTGATCATCTTATGTTTGCTCCAAACACATCGCTGGATAGACTTACTAATGTCCAGTTGCCCCTATGATTATTTCTGTAATACGGCCAGTGTCGTTCATGTATTGTGCTACAACTTCTGGCTGCCAACCAATTTGTTTGTTTATGATGTGTTTTGTTTCTTCATTTCCTCTTCCTCTGTCATTGTATATATATAGAGGTACTTTCATTATCGACACTAAAGGGATAGTCCGCAGTGCGACAGTCAATGACATAGAGGTATGTCCAACAACAGCTGGTTGACTCAGGTTTGTGTGTCTAGCTGTGTCTCTAAAATATCTTGACACGAACATTTTGTGTGCAAGACTTCTGATCTTACATACAAGATATCTAGTTGGAAACCTTTGAGAAAGACAACTTTTCATTTGCAGTTATAGATCATCCATGAAATTTTGTTCCCGTGGACACTTGTATATTGCAATCAGCTAAGAGTCCCCAACATTGCTGACATATCGATTATGTAAGTCACCAGGTGATCTATTTATAGGTGGGGAGAAATATCGACGAAATCTTCAGATTGGTTCAGGCTTTTCAGTTCACTGACCTTCACGGGGAGGTCTGCCCGGAGGGGTGGAGACCAGGAGAGAAATCTGTGAGTCTGGGGATCACATGACTTGAGTGTGACTGTCACATGACTTCCTCTCTCTCCCCAACAGCTCCCAGAGAATCAACCGTTTCGAAGACGGTCACAAGAATCAGTCATGAGAAGAAAATAGGAGCCCTCCATGTTTTTTTAACATCTCACAGCACCTATATACCAGCCTGAACTATTCACAATGTATTAAAGGTTTTCCGCTTTTCTTACGGTGGCTCATTTCGTACATTATTGAGTTTTGAAACGTACAAACTGTTGAAAATGCTGATATTTACATACAAAAGATCCTATTATAGACGAGCAGAAGCTATTTTGCTGGTGAGTGAATGTTGTGGGTGTGGTTTTCTGGTGAGAGGTCAGAGTCCGGGTTCTTCCTCCGGACGGCTAGACAAGAGGAGCCGGGTGGAGACAGGGTAATTGGGTGGGCGGGACTGGTGGGTAAGTGGGTGTGGTCAGCAACTCGGTACTCGGTGGATGAGATCTGTCGAGAGTAGTGGGCGCAGGAGGCTGCAAATCTTCCCAGATCATCAGTCAATCTAGGGACTCTGGAGAGAGAGAATTTTAAAGTTTCACCTTCGCTAAGACATTAAGTAGCTACCACATGCAAGGCTGATAAGACACCTGCATAGGCAAGTGTACATATAGGTATATCTATACACCTGCATAAGTATATATAGGTATATAGGTATATCTTAGATTATATTCATTTTAGAGGTGGTTCTTAGGAGCAGTATATATTAAAATCTCCACAACCTGTTCTGTACACAATAGAGCTATATATGGTGGATGAACCTGTTGAGCAGTCCTGGAGTACCAAGAGGTGTCTCTGGGGCCTCTCCACACTACGCCAGAGAGAGACAGACAGAGAGAGAGAGAGAGAGACAGATGAGAGAGAGAGAGAGACAGAGAGAGAGAGAGACAGAGAGAGAGAGAGAGAGAGAGAGAGAGAGAGAGACAAATACAGTGAACCATTTCAGTAAGTTGAACATTGAAACTATGCTTTAATTTTATTGTATGATCTAAGGTCAAAGCCAAAAACAGTTCTTTATGATCCAGTGGTGCTCTATTCTGCTTTTGAGTATATATCAGAAGACAGTGCCCTTTATGGGAGATGTCTTTCATTCAGACGGTCTTTTTTCAGAGATCTCGCTGTATGTGGTATGACGTCACGAGAATAATTTACCTGTTGCACCCAGGGGTGCTGCAGGACCTGTTTAGCCGAGAGTCTCTGATTTGCGACTCTCACCAACAGCTTCATGATGAGGTCCTTGGCCTCCTCTGACACCCCTGCCCACTCCTGGATGGAGACAAATCACTCTGAAAACAGAGACAGCAGGACAGAGGCACGACATAGGGACACAAATAGAGGTACATGGTGTGTTGGCAGAACATTCCCCCAGACACACCCTTGTCCGGGAACTCAAAATGTCCATTTGTGATACTCGACAGCAGCATGTCCTAGACCACGAAATGAGAGAGAGAGAGAGACAGGGAATGAGAGAAGTCTAGTGTTGTGTCATAGAGAGGATAGAGAGAGAGAGCATGTTATGAGTTTGAGATTTGGGTAGACGAGAAAATAGAGAGAGAGAGCAGGTATTGAGTGAAGTTGTAGTCCCACGCGTGGGGCGGTGTTTGGTGTGTGTGTCTCACCTGACATTTGCTGCACTCCTCTCCCCTGTCCCATCCACAGTCGTCACCACATCGCCCAGAGAACGGAGGACGGCCACTCAACATCATGTACAGCATCACCTGCAGTAAATCATACACTACTTGTTGAGTTTATGGGTGAAGTATATACTACATTATGTACACTACTATACAGTCACTGATTTACAGTACAGCGAGCAATTTGGTAGAAGGAAAATACATAGTAAAGGTTGAAATAAGGTGAAAATAGAAAGAGGAGGATGGGGGAGAGCTCACTCCAAGACTCCACAGGTCACATTTCTTGTCGTAGGAGAAGGCGTCCCCGGTAAAGGTCTCCACCACCTCGGGCGCCATGAACTCAGCTGAGCCAACGGGAGTGAAGAGAATCGGTGTTTTGGTGGGTGTGGCTGGGTTAACGACCATGCTACTGAGGTCGAAATCGCAGATCCTGACTGGAATAACCTGATGATGAGACAACGGAAGTAGTCGGTCTTACAAGACATGCAGAATGAATTTGGATGGGGCAAAGCGAAAAAATTATACCGCGTCAGAAGTGCAGTTAACAAAATCTGGAAGTTTTAAAGCCTCCAACCACACACTGTCATAGATAAACCTTCAACGTTTCATAAACATCATTGAGGCATCAAATACTAGAATAAGGTTGTAATTACAGAAGGAGAAACGTAATCGCATCCACCATTCATCACCAGGTCAACTACGAAACAAATTGTCACACAATCTCTCACCTGGTCCTTATTGAGGCAGAGTACGTTCTGGGGTTTGAGATCTCTGTGAGCCACTCCGTTCTCGTGGAGGAACGCCAGAGCTGTAGCCACCTCTCGCGTGACCTCTGCCGCCTCTCGCTCCACAAACCTCTCCCTCCTCTGTATGTGGGCCAGCAGGTGACCTGGGTGTGTGTGTGTATGTGAGGGAGGAAAGAGAGGAAGGGGGGAGGTCAGTTGTGTGTGTGAGGGAGGAAAGAGAGGAAGGGGGGAGGTGTGTGTGTGTGTGAGAGGGAGGAAAGAGAGGAAGGGGGGAGGTCAGTTGTGTGTGTGAGGGAGGAAAGAGAGGAAGGGGGGAGGTGTGTGTGTGTGTGAGAGGGAGGAAAGAGAGGAAGGGGGGAGGTCAGTTGTGTGTGTGAGGGAGGAAAGAGAGGAAGGGGGGAGGTCAGTTGGCACCGTGTTCCTGTCCGTACTACAAACCTCCGTGCATTTTCTCGAAAACGAGTAAGAATTGGTTCTCCTCTTCAAACGGCTGAATCAGCTGGAGGATGTTCCTGCAGCAGACACACAGACCACACAGGAAGATGAAAGTTCCAAGAACTCTCCTCTCCCCTGCCCTCTGACCTGTTGTTCCTGCAGAGGTAGAGAATTTCTATTTCCCTCAGAACCTTTTCCCTCACTCCCGGCTTGTCCATCGGCACAATCTAAACAAGAATGAGAGAAAGACAACAGCATAAAACGGCACCCCCTAGATATTAGGAGGAGATTGTGAGAAATTAGCTGTTGGTCACACCTTCACGGCAAACTCTTTCCCATCATCTCTGCGGCGGCAAGTAGCCACAGAGGAGTAAGCCCCTCTCCCCAATTCGTCTCCCACGAGTTCATACACATCTGGACGAGAAGAAGAGAAGGCATGCTTTGAAATTATAACCCGATTTTGTCGGCTTTCGAATTCAACAGTACGTGAAATGGAGAGAGAGAGACCTGTGAACTGAAGAGCTTTGGGTGGCTGTTTTCTATGCCTCTTCTTCTTGTGGATGTTGTTGTTGTGTGCGGCTGATCGCGACGGAGTCAACAGGGAGAGTGTGTTGGGTGCTGCAGAATAGGGAGGAAAGAGGGAATAAGGTAATCTTTAGATTGCGGGGTCAAAATAATACAATGGAACATGACAAAGAAATTGGCATTCATTATACAGAGGCATCCGTATTATTAGACTACACTTAGTATTAGTCCCGGATCAAAACGACTGTCTTTTATAGAGAGGTATCCTCTGCTCAGAGTGTTCATTACAAGAGATTCCACTGAAATCTCTTGAAAAAAAGGTTTTTAACCAATCATGTAGGTAGACATGCCATGAACTACATGGTAGGGGTCAGAGTGTATGCAGTCACCTTCCTTTGTCTCTTGTCCTGGTATCTCTCCGTTCTTGGCTGTCGTCTGCAGCTGTTGGAGACAGACACACACATACCACACTCTCTCATCAGTTATAATAATAATTGACGATTGCAATTATTCCAACTAAGGCAGAGAGGTGTTGCTACATTGGCCACATGCGTTCCAACACACTCTCTGCTGCTACCATATCATAATGTATGCTTCTCATTTGGCTCTTGGCTGGAGCTAAGGCAATACACTTTAGATTATGTACATTAGGTGAGACTATTGCTGTTGATAAGACGCTTTCCGGAGCTTACGTTAAAGTTTTGGTGGAATTTTTTCAGGTCTCGCTCTATCTCCCCAGAGAGCTGAAGGGAGAGGGAGAGGGGGAGGTAGGCGGGGGACATTGCAGAACAGTGAGAGAGAGAGAGAGAGAGGGGGGCGGTCACACTGACCTTGAATTTGTCTTTGAATTCTCTGAGGTCTTCGATGGTCCTTGAGACCTTGCCTCGCTCGGCCATCATCTTACCTCCTCCGATTTTTAGTCTACTAGGCACGGCACACGGCTCTATTATACTGTCGCAAAAAGACGCGCACGTTTTTATATGCGAATCTACCCCGCCCATAAACGCACCCACTAAACGTCATCATTTACTCTCGTATACGCGCTGTCGTCGTGCGCATGCGTAATTTAGTAGGCGTAGCTGGCCGGATGCTGTAGCATGCATGCATGCTGATAAAACGGTGCTAGAAGCCACTCGTTCGATCGCCAGTTTGCCTATCTTCCCGGGGGAGACATGGCGCACTGCGGCTGTGCTCCGCCCAACAAGATGACCGAGCAGAGGATGGAAGACCTGAAAAAGGTGAGAACGGTATTGATGTAGCTAGCTAGCCAATGTATACCCCACCGCCGCACCTGCAGGCCCAAGCTCTGGCCGAGCTAATTCGGTACTCGGGAGATCTCAGCATCAAAGACAGAACGTACCGTCTGAGGACGTACAAAAACTGCTTCATCGGTGAGCTATCTAGCTAGCTAGCTAGCTACTGATGTTGTTGTTGTTCAGAGAACGTGGAAGAGCACTACGGACTCTTTACTGGATGTCTCTGTATTTGGAAGTTGTGTAGCGTTGCGTGTCGGCGGCGTGTGCATGCATTGTGCCGTTCTAAGTCATCTGTTTACAAACAGCACTGGGTATTCTTCCCACAATTGGTGTATATATCCGCACATTTTACTCCCTTTCTTACCCCCTCTCTTCATCCCTTCCCTCCTTATCTTTTCTTACCTAACTCCCCCTCCCTCTCCTCCTCTCAGCATCTGACCTTGTGGACTGTCTCATCCGTATGAGGGAGGCCTCCAGTAGACAAGAGGCAGTGATAGTCGGTCAGCTCCTTCTCAGCACCGACTACATACATCACGTGGTCGACGGACACCATTTTGAGGACGGCTACCTCTTCTTTCGCTTCAGACAAGATGGTCAGTTGACTAATGAAGCCACAACATACATTATCGAGTCTATAAGTCGAAACGGGCCGGCACTCCCAGCTATTGGCGCAGAGGGTGTTGTTTTACAATAGTCAATCTTAACGATTTGCTGTGTTTTTGCAAGCGCTCTTGTTTGCAAACACACACACTTTACAATAACAGAGCTAGTTGATGGTTCACATTATGCAGCTAAAACACTCTCCAGTGACTGTAGTCTTAGAACAACCAGTGTGTTTATTGAACCCTTGTTTTGTTCTGAGACCACTGAGTATAATACACTTGTGGTGCTACCTCAGATCGCCCTGGACTGGCAATCGAGGGTCCTTCAGCCGTCTTCCTGGAGGGGCAAGAAGGCTCCGTTGCCAATATCCTCCACAAACGAAGGGCCCTGACCGGCTGGATCCAATATTTCTTTGTCCTCACTCCAGTCAAGAGAGTCCTGTACCAGTTCCGGACTCAACTGGTGTGTTGTCTCCCTGCCTTCACTCTCTCTGTGATTAAACCTCTCCCATACTTCTGGCTTCCCCCACTTCTCTCCCCTTTCTTCCTCTATCACACGCTGCAACAGGACTCCTCCCCTCTCTCCTGTTGGTCAATGAAGGGGGTCAAAGTACAGCCGGCGCTCCCTCGGGCAGTCGGAGGAAAGTACCTCCTCCAGTTCATCTTCCCCGACTCCTCACAGAAAGGTGTCTACAACATGTGTGTGTGTGTGTAATGTGGTTCTTTAAACCCTGCCCTTCATTGCAAGATACACGCACCATTTCCTTATCAAAACTCCCATTCAGTTTTCTATATCCTGCGTGCAGACCTGTTTACTGTAGGCTGATAACTAGACAATCTCTAACAGTTGTCTGTCTGTTTGTATAACTCTCCCTTTCAGACCTTGTCCTTGGTGCTGATAGCAGCGACATTCAGTTGGCATGGTTACAAACCCTGGATGGCCTCGGCGTGGAAGTGCTGTCGTCTACAAACGAGGAAGAGGAGCAGATACGAAATGCCACGTCCATCTTCGAATTTCAAGCCAAGACCATTGATGGAGAGAGTGTGTCACTAGAGAAATACCGGTATAACCTCTGTATTAGATCATTGGCGTCACATGACTGTCATGTGATCTCCTGCAGTGGTCATGTGACCCTGATAGTGAACGTGGCGTCTCAATGAGGCCGGGCGGCCAAGAACTACACGCAGCTTGTCCAGTTGCATAGGGAGTACGCCGCTCGCCAGGGACTCAGGATACTAGCCTTCCCCTGCAACCAGTTTGGAAAACAGGTTTGCATTTCAAAGATTATAAATATCCCTCCTTTAATTGCTTTGACATTACAAAACTTTTTTCCATTGCGATACACCTAATACTAAGCATCCCTCCAATTGAACACACGCCATTATTCTATTAGACCATTAGTAAACTCATGTAATTTCAGAGGAAAAACAACTATATACAATTTGGCACATTGACTAGAATCCACACAATCCCATTAAGAGAGGGCGTCCCTCTCGTTACTGCAGGAGCCAGGGACGGCTCAGGAGATAAAGCAGTTTGCGGCTTCTTTTGGAGCAGAGTTCGACATGTTTGATAAGATTGATGTGAACGGAAGCCACGCCCACCCTCTGTACAGGTTCCTAAAGTCCCGTGTACACAAAGGTCTTGGAAGCTTCGTCAAGTGGAATTTTGAGAAGGTATGACAACACCTTAAAAATATCTTAGGGGAACAAGTTATACAGACGATAAGCATCTCTATTAATGTTCACTTGAGAAAGGGGCTTCCCCTCATAGAGAGGGGCTCACCCTTGATGACTTCACTAGTAGACAGGGGCTCCCCCTCGTTACTCAGTGGAAATCTCCTCTGCATGTCATGTTTCCTGCATCAGCGGATTGCCTTACAAACAACTAGCAGCAACCCAAATCTTCCACCGATATCTGGTAGCATGAGTTATGTAAGCACACATAAACACTGGCATACCGCAATAATATAGCATACCTTTCTATGCACAACAGTCAGTCCCTGTGGTATCTAAGATGGTAGGTGTTATATAGTGTGTGTTTAACTTTTGGTTTCAGTTCATTTGCAATGGCGACGGAATTCCTGTGAGCCGGTATTACCCGACCACGCCCCCTCTGGTGAGCCAAATTACCACCAGTTGCCAATCCGATTACCTCATAATTACATCATCTCTCTAGGACCTTTTGCCAGATTTGGAGAAGCTGTGGAATGCAGGGAACACCGCAACCGCATCACGAGCTGGCAGCGTGCGAATATAGAACTCTCCTCTTGATCTCTTCCTCCCTTTCTCCTCTCGTGGCAGCTAGACAGTTGTTCAATTGAAGGATTCTCATTAAACCACGCCCAGTGGAATGAGAAGACCCGAATCACCATGACAACCATCAACAGGCCACACCCACACATCATCAGCCCACAACCAGTTCATTTCAACAATATGATTTTTAAAACAGATGATGCTATTACAGTATGTGCGCATGATGCAATCATTACGTAATGATATGCACTACTGAATACAGTCTCTGGGATTAGAGGCATGATAGGAGGAGGGCTAGAAATCTGCAAATTCTTTTGGGAACTTTTGTTGACTCGAGATCCGGAGAGGCTCTTCCTCGTAGTCGTCGAAATTACTGGTGTCGCCTGCGCCCCGACACTTTGGGATGAAAGGTGCATCTACCTGCATGGTTTGAGGAGGAGGAGGTAAAGAGGGAGAGGATAGGAAGAAAGAGGGCATGAGCAATGGCTTCCTTGAGAGCAGTCTTGCCTCGGAAATCTTGTCCACAATAGACACATGCATTAGGAGGTAATGGCGAGCGAAAGGGTGGGGTTTCAGAAGTTTCCCGGCAGCTTTTAAAGAATTACGTTACGAACAGCACTCAAATTTTCACGAGGGAGAGAACTTACCTTTTTCAGGAAGATGGCAACCCAGTCAGCGGCAGTGAACCACTTGTGTCCCTTGATGTCGGCAACTCCGTTCTTGAGGTTCCCAAACCTCTTGGTGAGGTCGACTTGGAGCAGGTTTCTGAGGAGATCCTTCAAATCAGCAGTGAAATGAGACGGAAATCTCACCTGCACATGTGTGCGTGCACATATCACATACAGTGAAACGTCTGAAAAAGGACCCTCTGAATAAAGAATGCTTCTCTATAAAGGAGACTTGGTTCTGCCCTGTACTAACACAATATGTTAACTCCGAATAAGGAGTCCCTCTGAATACCAATGTCCCAAGTCAAAGTGCCCCTTATTAGCTGTACACAGTGTGTGGGAGCATTTATAATGCACCAGAGGTAGCCTTATAGACATGTGTACGTGGGGGATTAAAATGAATTCCTGGGGTGCTTAGAGTAAACGTATACAAGGCATTTGAAGCCCAGGGGACACGTATGACATAACACAACATGGACAGTTGGCTAAACTTGAGGAATGCAGGCAGTTGTAGGAGTCTCATGGGTTAACATCAACGTATGATTACAGCTGTATCATTATAGATAGTGAACCGGGGCTGCTATACTGGGGGCTCACTTTGCCAGACACAATCTTCTCGTAGATCTGAATTGGTTGGTCGGCAAAGAAAGGAGGGTAGCCGGCAGACATCTCGTATACGAGAACTCCCAGAGCCCACCAGTCAACTGCCTTGTTGTAGCCCTGGAGAGTGGTGGTGGGGGAGGAGGGAAGAGAGACAGACAGTTAAAGTATCCGGGCAGCTTAGGAGCAAGCTGTGTCTAAAAAAATTGACTTCAAAGCTGGATTTACACACGTTAGAGGGGCTATTTAGTTTAGGAAGACAATTACTAGAATGATTTTTGGACATAACCTCTGTAGCTTTATATAATTATATTGATGTATATATATACATACCTTGGAGAGGATGATCTCGGGAGAGAGGTATTCAGGTGTTCCACATAATGTCCATGTCCTTCCCTTCACCTTCTTGGCAAACCCAAAGTCAGTCAGCTGAGGAGAGAGAGAGGAGAGAGAGAGGAGAAGAGAGAAGAGGAGAGGAGAGAGAGAGAGAGAGAGAGAGGAGAGGAGAGAGAGAGGAGAGGAGAGGGAGAGGGAGAGGGAGAGAGAGAGGGGGTCAAGGGGAAGAATTAAATAACAGGAGAGCCTTGTGGCACAACTAATAATTGATGACACGTGTCCACATTACCACACCCCCACCCACATTATTGCTGTCCCCACACCACACACATCTTGATTGAACATTCTCAAGACACGAGGCAGGCTATACATAAGTAGACAACGGCAACACCACATCAACCAATCAGATTGTGACTTTAATAGAAACAAATTACGTTAGTTACCTCTTCTGTTACACACAAGCCCCTGTGGGCTACAAACACACACACTATATAGTACGAGGTCCAAGTTACTGATCATGACATATCCCCTCCACACTCCTCTCCTAGGACACAGTTCAAATACCCTGTGAACCACGCTTGCCTGCGACAGAGCTTCTTGCTCGAGGGCCTGTCTCGCTGACCCCCCAAATTGTTTCAGACCCCACAGATTTGCAGGGGGTCTGCCACTCTTGAAATGTTCGCCTAATGAGACCCCCGTGCTACAACAGGATGATTATTTCTCCCACCTTGACGTATCCCTGGCTGTCGATGAGGATGTTCTCAGGTTTGAGGTCTCTGTAGACAATGTCCAGGTTGTGGAGGTACTCGAATGCCAGCACTATCTGGGACGCATAGAACCTCGAGTGGGTCTCACTGAACGACAGAGGGAGGGAGGGAGGGGTTCGGGAAGAAAGAGAGAGAGAGAGAGAGATGAGGAAATAAAGAGGGTGGCGGAAGAGAAGAGAGAGGGAAAGAGGTGGGGGCAGTGTGTAACCAAGCACGACATGGTACGGTTATAAATGTGTAGAAACGAAAGCAAGCAAGAGAGAGAGAGAGAGGGGGAGGGGGGGGAGGGGCAGACCTGAAGCGCCCAATTCTTCTGAGATGAGAGAACATTTCACCTCCTGGTACAAACTCCAGCACCATGTACAGGTAGGAGTTGTCCTGAGGGGGCAAAGGTCAATACGTTCATACACTACATCCCCAAGTTAGCTGGAGTAACCAATAGCTGCATTCCTCAGCAGTGAAACACGGGAGTCAATAGCAACTATCACCAGGCCCTACAAACACACATGAAGGTGGGTGTCTACTGCCGCCACTGCCCTCAAGGAAACCCACAACGATGAGTATATAGAGTACAGAGATTGATAAAAGCAAGGGTCTTATTGCATTGGGCTGTGAGGCAATAGAATAAGTGTTGGACTCTTGCCACAGTAACTCTGTGAAGACTGGCTTGGGAATGCCTCACACACACACACACACAACTCATACTCCCAATTGGGCACTGCATTGCACTACAGTGGAACCCATCTCTAAAGACACCCCTGAAATGAAGACACCTACTCTCTCCCTGAAGAACAGTTTTGACATGAAATTTGACCACGGACACCTCAATAATACGGACACTTTCTTCTGTCCAATTGGTGACTTGATTACAGGGGTTCACACAGTATATCCATACCTTGAAGTGGTAGTCCATGTTCACGAGAAAGGGGCACTTTATCGAGGCGAGGATCCTCTTTTCGTTCATCGTGTGCTCAACTTGTTTTAGTTTCACTACCTTGGCCTTGTCCAGTATCTTGAGGGCGTGAAACGTCTTGTTTGCCTTGTGTTTCACGAGCATGACACGGCCAAACGACCCCGTGCCCAGCGTTTTGATCCGGTCGAAATTATCCAGGACTACAGTGCTCTGTTGGAGAATGAGAGAGAGAGAGAGAGAGAATGAGAGAAAGAGAGAAAGAGAGAGAAAGAGAGAGAGGGAGAGAGAGAGAGAGAGAGAGAGAGAGAGGGGGGAGGTGAAATGGGTATGTAAACAAGACCATGGGATGTAGGAGAAGTTTTTAAAAGCACACACCCAGCCCAGTAAGCCTTCCTGTTGCCTACTAATAGATAGTTGAGGGAAGACATACCTTGCAGGCATAGTAGGCAGCGTACCGTGCACGTTTTGCTACACCTCCACTACATGTGTACCACTAATTGCCTGGAGTGGCCAGCACTCCTGTAGGCATCTCTAGATGTGGGTGTCAAGGAGGGCGAGCATATTACCTGTGGAGAGTTTTCCCATTTCTTCTGGAATTCCAATTTCGACTCTGCCATAAAGGCCTGAACTGTAAGACAGGGGAGAGGCAGTACACATGGCAATCAACACAGTGAGAGAGTAGGGTCTCGACAGAGATCACGTGTACACCGGACAGCTGGTGCTAATTTCTCTTCTGAACAATATGCACACTCAATACTACACTGGAGACGAAGGTCCAGCACATGTCATGCGAAAGGGCTCTAGCAACTCATTAGCACCCGCAGACTCTGTAAATAAACGCACCCGTGTCTCCCTTTCCCCCTGCCGTCCCTCCCATCACTCTCTGGAGTAGGCTAGTCATCTTCTTGGCTCTCTCCGCACTATAATACTCAACAGCAGGCTAGCAGCAGCTCCGCGAGTGGGCAACTGCGAATTCCGCAGGGCATACCTTATTTCCATCACGTGATACACAGTATGCGGAAAGAATACTACAAAATCCGGAAAAGCTAACGCATTGCGCATGCGCATTTTTAACGGGGCTAGGCCGCAGAGGCGAAGAGACAATGCTTTGCGGAGTTCTAAGACAGTCGTGTGCCTTCTCCCTGCGGCGGTTGTCCACGGAGACTGCCGCTTCCACAGAATATCGCCTGGCGGAAGTGAGCAAAGTTGGCGATTTCATAAAGCGATGTCTGGTCGCAGCGGGAGCGACGGAATCTGGCGCCGCCACGCTCGCGTCGACTCTGGTCCACGCGGACGTCCGCGGCCACTTCAGCCACGGTCTAAACAGACTAGGTAAGTCTGTACTGCGTGGGAAACAGCACCTGCAACAGTCGGTGGTCCATAATCCGTAGAGATGTACTGTAACGAGGTGAAGTCGGGGCAATGCGATGGTAGAGCAACTCCGTGTGTGGTAAAGGAGACGTATGCTACTGCTCTGGTTGACGGTCGGAACGGCATTGGTCCAGTCAGTCAACACATACACAAATATCGAGCTCAATATTTTAGTTCTCTTTCTTTTTTTAGGTTGTTGGTGAATTTTCGATGGACTTGGCAATTGCAAAAGCGAAAGAGGCAGGGTGTGCGTGGGTCACTGCTACAAGTGTGTATGGAGTTTGAAATGGCTAAGGCATGTGACAAATTCCAATCTTGTGCAGGATCGAATCACTATGGGATTGCTGCACACTACACCTTGAGGGCAGTGGAGGAAGGACTCATTGTGAGTACTTACTCTGTAGAGCAATTAGAGTTAATTAATATAGTCAGGTACAGATGCATCATTAACTGTATATATAATATGACAAGTACAGAAATTGAGGTGTTGTTCATGACTCTTACTGAACAATGTCCTGGCAGGGAATTTCTGCCACAAACACTTCTCCACTGGTAGTACCCACAAGAGCCCAACAGGTGATGAGTATAAAACAAGCAGCTCCTGTACATGTGGACTCCATTGTAGTGTGTGTTGGGTACCAACCCAATCTCGTTTGCGGCTCCGTCAAAGAAAGATTCGTTTGTTTTGGACATGGCAACATCCACTGCTGCCATTGGCAAGGTGAGAGTCAGTGGAGTGAACCAGGCACTTCTTGTCTGCCGTGAATTAGAAGTCTGGTTTAGTGTGAAGCTATAATTGTTGTTGTACGTCTGTCAGGTGGAGGTACAGGCGAGGAAAGAGCTGCCTATTCCCGGTGGTTGGGGCGTGGACTCAACAGGAAACGTCAGTAATCGACTCTGGCTATATTACTCACATCAACTGGAGACATTTGATTTTTAACAGGAAACTCGCGATCCTCACAGAGTGCTGGACGGAGGTGGCCTAATGCCGCTTGGTGGAATGGAAGCGACTGGTAAGAGTGAAACAAACTGTATTCGCATTTTTTGAGGTCAGAAGAAAAAACAGTGGATAGGGAGCCCCTTCGATAATGATGAAGGGTATGTACAGTATGTGACCTATTACCATGGGGAAACTTGACTGTTTCTGCCAAACAATGCTGTGGATTGAGAGCCCACTATTGATAAACCATCTATGAGGTAATTCCTCATAGCTACCTGCTTGTTGCAGCTGGCTACAAGGGCTACGGCCTTGCCATGATGGTGGAACTGATGTGTGGGACGCTGGGAGGAGGCATGTACGCCCACCACATCCGCAAGTGGACCAGCACAGAGCACCGCCCTGCTGACCTGGTGCAAACTAACACTGCGTTTCTCTCAATCACTCTTTCATCATTAGCCCCACTATATGACAGGGGCAATCCTTCATTGCTGTCGACCCCGAGGCCTTTGCTCCTGACTTCCAGACCAGACTCGATACGTTCATAGAAGAGATGAGGCAACTTGAACCAGTGAGATTATATGCATGTATATAGGAACTGAGCTTTAAACATTCGTCATCATTTGTTTCACCTAGCAGAGCCAGTGTGGAGAGCCAGTGCTGGTAGCAGGAGACCCCGAGAGGGCTCACATGCAAAAGGTGAAGGAAGACGGAGGCATTCTCTATCACAGAAATGTCTTACAGGCCATGGTAATGACGCTATAAATACAATTTTGCTCTATAAATTGACGATATGATTTGCAGGAGACATTAGCTGAGTGGTTGAATGTTGCAAAACTGGACACAAGCACAACACAACATTAGTTCATCTATTTTTTCCAGTAGTCCCATATGTGTGTGTTATGGAGGTCCTGTTTGTATGGGAAGATCATATATTTTCTCAACTATATTTTATAGTGATATACTTACACGATGTTTGAGGTATGACATTACCATCGTCCATACAAAGTCTATTGCATTCTGAAAGATGACTCTCAGGACGACTGGAACGTAGCGAAAGTTTATTATCTGCACTGCAGGCCATACCAGAAGCTCCAACTGTAAAGAGATAGAGGGTTGCAAACATCATAATCCCTTTCAAACGGTTTCTAGCTTGCCTCGACAGTTGTTGAAAATTTCTGCTTTGTTTCAGCCGCGGCCTCTCGCCAACTCTTGCCCTCCAGTTTGCACATGACTGTGTAGTGAAACGAGGAACCCCATACAACCGAGTGCAAGACGCGCAGCGGCTGCAACTCACGCGTGTAGAAGAGGACGATACCTACGGGCAGGTACATAAGACTGTCCAGGGCGACTTTCTTTGCGACGGCCGCGGCGTGCGAGCCGGGGAAGCGGGAGTCGAGGAAGCGGTACCAGCAGTGGTCGACTGGTCCCAGCAGTAGTCCGGTCGTCCCCATCCGCAGAGTCCGCGGCCAGTCGTGAGGCTGGATGCTCTCAACCCCGCACTGCTCTACCGCGTCGGCCAGACCGTCCAGAGTGCCCGCGGAGACGGTGTTGGTCACAATCAGGTACCTTCCCAGCAGGAGGCGGCGAAGGTAGACTGTATGACGAGACATGCCATCTCCTCAGAACTTGACGCAAACAGAACACGTGAAAGCTGCAGCACACGCTGCAAAGCCGCACCCCTTTCCAGCTGAACCCTCGTCCCTCGGCCGAACCCACGTGTAGAGGGGAGCCCATTTCTCTCTCACATTAGCACAGCAGGCAGCATGGGAGGAAGGCTGACACGTCTGAGAGGCTCTCGGCTACTGGTGTTCAACGTGTGCGCGTCGGGAGTGGGTTACGCGGCGGGGGACCAGCTGCAACAGCGGTTCGAGGGTAGGGGGCAATCTGACTGGGTGAGGTCGGGAAGAATGGCGGGTGTGGGAGCTCCCATTGGCGCCATGGGTCACTACTGGTACCAGCTGCTGGACAGAGCTCTGCCTGGAGTAGTGGCGGGGGCAGTGGTGAGGAAGGTCCTGGCTGACATGTGCATCTTTGCCCCTGTCTGCCTCGTAACCTTCTTCACTGGTAAACCTGGTAACCGCTGCAAATAAAGCTATTCTCTTTAGTCTTGTTTGTTAGGTATGGGACTTTTGGAAGGGAAGAACAGTAGAGAGATTGTATTGGACGTGAAGACAATGTTTCCCACTGCATATCTGGTATGAAACTTTCGCTATTTCATAGCTCTACATTTTTTTCTCCCACAGGCAGAGTGGGCATTCTGGCCTGCAGCACAAGTAAGAAAACACTACCTTTCACCCCTGAATGAAATTTTTAAATGAACCTGTCATTCAGGCACTAAATTTTTACATCATTCCACCACAATTGAGAGTATTTTATGTGAGCTCGGTACTATTGGTCTGGACTGTTATTCTCTCTTACATCAAGCATAAGGTTTGTTTATTCTTCTGTTGAATCTCTATATTATATTACTGATGTAATTATCTTTCCCTATTATGATTCCAGTAAACACAGATTTTTTCCGGACAAAAATTAAAAAAAAGTGAGGATAAAAGATAAAAATTTGCTGGATATGAGACAAATTTATGAGACTGGAGAGATGTAGTTGTGTCTCATTCTCCTCAGAAACCTATAGAAGTCGAGGACCTGGGGGTGGGCTCTCACACAGGATGGCTGGAAGTCTGTGACTCGCATGGTTTTGAGACTCCGAGCTCTCGACAGTGCCACGTAGGCCTGTCCGTCTTCGAATGCCCGGCCCAGCGATATCTCCACACAGTCCAGAGTCATACCCTAATGTTTTACACAGTTCAATCTACTTCAACTTTGTACATAGTTTCGGTCATAGAACATCAGTCACATTTTACGTTCACCAGGTCATCATTAGGTTCAGGATAGTTTAAACACATCTGGCACTATATAGCACTTGTATTGTGCAAATAATAATTACTCCATTTAAGCTACACCTCTATCTATCTATGTGTGCTGTATATAAGCTCAGTCATACATATGTACCTGGCTCTTGTGTACTGAGATGGCCCAGGCAAGTCGGAGAGGCAGCTGTCGACGAACGGCCATGACTCCGCCTCCCATCTTGACGAGGAACTTCTCTGGTGACACGGTCATCTCGAGACCAGACGTAAATCTTACCACTGGCAGCCCTAGCAACAGTGTCGACTAACTATGCAGCTTAATGGGTGGCAACATTGTGTATTATACCTCTGTTTGATGTGTCAAATTTGATCACAACTCCCCTGGCGCCATTTACCAGTCCTCTGGACACGTCAATGTTCTTTGCCAACATCACCTATATACATTCAAACCAGTACACAACTGATGAGTAATGGATTGGTATAGAATGTAAATTTTTTGAAATTTAACTGCAAATTTGTGGATCCCTTCAAAAAATGTCCCTCAAAAATACCTGAGCCCCCTGTTTGAGTTGTAGAGATGCAGTGACTGGACAGAGGTTGTCCAGCTGGCTGCTGAGTCCAGGGTCACTGTCGTGGGCTGGAAACTTGTGAACCTCTCCTTTCAGAACCCCCAGCTGTTTCCTGTTGGTGGCCTCCACGTCCGCTGTGTGGGTGTAGAGTCTCGTGGCCTTGATACCTCCTGACTCTATCGGCTGGTGTTTGGTGGCCTGCAGCAGCTTCGTGACTGCCGGTGGACACCTGGTGCAGTGGAGAGAAATCTCTCACTTTCTAGAGTGTACAATTATGTACATAAATACCGTCCAATTCTGATGTTCTGGAGGAGAGCGATGAACTGTTTGTCGTTCTGTCGGTAGATTTCCGTGAGCTCCACGCTTCGTGTTACACACCACTTCCAGCACTTTGCCTGCAATATACACAACACATGGCCAATCACACCTCACACAATGGCACACTGCATTCTCCATAGAGTGTATGCCGTGTTAACACAACACACTGACCTGGAAACAGTACTTCTTCTCTCCCTCCTTGGCCACCGGAGGCAGCTGTAGAAAATCCCCACACAACACCAGTTGGATTCCACCAAATGGCTTCTTTGATTTCCGCACGGATTTTGCAACCGCATCAAGCTTATCGAAATAGTCTGCATCGACCATTGATATCTCGTCGATGATAAGACAGCGGCATTTCCTCCACTGAGCCGCCTTGTGTGGTCTTGAGGCCAGGCTCAGGCACTGGTCAAGTGGGGCAGCCCCACTACCGATCCCTGCAAATGCATGGAGAGTGGTTCCTCCGATATGACAGGCTGCTGAGCCCGTGCTAGCTGTGGGGAACGTCGACACGGGTGGTAGGACACTGATGATTTGCTTGAGGAGGTAAGATTTCCCCGTCCCTGCACTGCCAGTGAAAAACACGCTCTCTCCGTTTTTGACCATCTCCAACACTTTCATCTGTTCTTCCGACAGTGAGAATGCACCCCTCTCAGAACTGATGCGGTGCAAGGTTTCTTGATGGGCTGGCCTGAAGAGAATTCGTCCGTCTTTCCTCCTCCTGTTGCTCTGGAAGTTACTGTGTTGCTGATGTCGGAGAGTTTCCGTTTCGGAGGGCGCCCACTTGTCTCTTGTTGCCTCTTGGGAGTGGTCAAGGTGGCAGTGATTTTAGTGCAGTTCTTTGCCGCTTTCTCGAGGTCTTTCTCGCACAGAGGGCTGATTTCGTCGAACCCCAGAGCAGAGTCTGGGAGCATTCGCGACTTTGCTCCCTGCAGCTTCCCCCTGGCGGCCAGTTTCAGGGAGAGGCTCTGTAGAAACTGCCGCAGCTGGGCCGGGGGGCAGTTGGAGACCAGGAGTTGCATCTTTTGCGTCATAAGGCGAATGGAGGCCTTGCCTTCGCTCACGAAACGTCTGTGGACGGCGTGCTGGCGGACGGTGAGAGGTCCCAGGGTTCCCTCGCCGTGGGCCACACGGAGTACTACGTCTCCTAGCTCGTTACGGCCCAGGTCGAGCACAGCCGTCTTAAGCACCTGCTTCCTGAGCGTCTGCCCGACGACATCCTGGTACTCCACCACACATGTGCAGTGGACGCTCCCTCCCTCCATCGTTCTCTATGAAAACTAAAACCACATGTGAAGTTAGATTTTCGAATTTGAAATTCAAAACGCAGCGCGCGCCGCCGGACAAAATCTAGATATGCGCATGCGTGACCCGCGGGAAACCTCTGCATAAAAGTTCTCGGGAAATTGGACTTAGAAGGATGAGAGCGGTAGTAATTGATTAGCCTCGCCCTTCATCCTCGTCCGAGCCGAACGGTTATGGGTTACAAGCTGAAATGGCCGTTCTCCAGGAAGGACAAGGAGAAGAAGAGAGGTCCCAAGACAGTCAGCATCTTCCTGGGGTTCTTCTTCATGGTGAACTACTGTCTCGGTACGGGATTTCTCGGCGTCCCTTTCTCTTTCTTCTACGCCGGATACCTGGCCTCCATCCCTACTCTACTACTGGTGGCCTTCGTCAGTTGGAACAACGCCGAGTGGACAATAGAAACCATGTCGCGGGCACAGGTAAACAGCCATGTTCAAATGTTTTTATAGTTAGTGTGCCAAGTTCCTAAACTCCCCGGTTAGGTTAGGTTAGGTCTCCCCGCACCTGCTTTGGACTGCCGCAGCACATGTCATAGAGTTTAGTTCACGTTGTGCATTCAGTTTCACAACTCATTGAAAAGAACAACTTACGATACTTTTAGCTAGCTATTTCCCTACTAGCCTGTGAGATCGCCAGTTAGGGGGGGCATTTTTTCACGCTGAGCAAAGAGGGGATTTGGTGTCGTCTAACTTCAGCCCTGTGCATATGTTCCTGCTTTTGGTGTGAGAGGTTTCAACAACTGTTGTCAGAAGGTGGTCCATTGTGTGTCAGTCAAAACACGCAACACACAAGCCCCAGCCAATATTGTGTATGTAACACTGCATAATGTGATATTGATGTTTGTATACACTATCAAGACAACACCAATCACTGCAGGCAATAGACACGTGGCGAAGGGAGAAGAAGAGGGTGTCTGGTGTCCTACAGTCGGAGTCCGAGAGCGAGAGAGAGATCCTAATTCAGGACACCTCTGAGCCGTCCCAGGGAAATCCCGGGGAACCCCAGTCGAGCCCGAGATACGAGATCCGCTGCACGAGGAAGTTTGAACCAATCGAAGTCTGCGAAATTTTCCTCAACCAATGGGGGAAGTACACCTACATGATCATCTGGACACTCAACTGTTTCCTGACTGGGTGGTCCTTCACAACCGTCGCTGCATCTGCGTGGTCGACCAACATACCTTTCTCCAGCTCCACAATCCAGCAGTGCACGGGAGAAGATTTCCTTAGAGTTCTAATCCCACAAAATCAGCCTTGCTGGCATGCCTACATGATCTGTGTCCTTCTATTTGCCGCCATCGTCGTACCACTCTCTCTCCTGGACCTGAGCGAACAGGCAGTGCTCCATATGACCATGGGTCTCCTAAGATTCGTTACCATTGCCATCATCGTACTTTACTCTGTGGTGAAGCTCAGTGTTGCAACCAATGAGTGCAGCTTCAGTGTCACGCACAATTCGAGTCTATTTCTCAGCGAGAACTCTACCGATGCGGACTTCTTTACATCGGACAATGCTTCATTGTTCTCGACAATTGAATATGGCTTCTCAGACCTGTCTCGCATCGTCTTCCGTTTCGACGTCAAGGGCTGGCTAGTCTCCATCCCTATATTTACATTTGCTCTTATGCTCCACCAGGGAATCCCGGCACTCACACATCCTATCAAGGAGAAGCATTTTCTGCGGCAGTTCATGGTGGCCATGTTTGGTATTGCCACCATCAGCTACTTGTCTCTGGGGGTAGTGGTTCCTCTGTGGTTCAAGGCCAACATCCAGGAAACATGTACCCTCAACTGGGTGAGCCACTTCCTATATTATACCAACAGCCCTGGATTGGAACACACTCACTTTATCACCTGATAGAATTTCCTGTTAGCTTGAAGTGTGATAGCAAGCTGGATCTCTTGTTCCAATTTCACCTTTTGTTGGCTTCTAATTTGTGTGTACCTAGTCACGTGATTCTTGGGCCAAACCTGGGTTATGCAGTAGTTCATTATCTTCTTGGCACATTTTCACATTACATTTCATAGGTTCCACTGCTGACTAGTCCAAACGCTGGTATCCAGGCTCTGTCCTACTACATCATCCTCTTCCCCTCCATTGACGTCATATCTGCCTACCCTCTACTCATCCACGCCATCTCCAACAACATTTTCATGATTATCTGCGGACGCGACACTTCTCGCAAGTCCAAACACCCGACCAGAGATAACGTCCTCTACTACATCATCAAGTTCCTCTCCGCCACCCTGCCTGTGGTGGCCGCTCTCTTCATCTCTAATCTCGTCTACGTCCTCAAATATGCCGGGATTACGGGGTTCTTCATCTGCTTTCTCTTTCCCACTTGGCTGCAACTGCGCTCCATTTGGGTGTGCAGTAAAGAGTTTGGAGACTCGAAAATGGTCACGGTTGAAATGAAGAATATTGGGAAAGTTCCTCTGTTGAACGGAGAGGTGAATGGAGAGGGAGATGATGGAGGTGGGAAGGGGGAAGAGAAAGAAGGAGAGGGGGTGCTGGAGAATAAGAAGGGCGTGAGAGCTAAAGGAAGTCGGTTTTCTGCTCTTGTCTGTTTCAAGAACCGCCTCTCACAGATGTGTGCCACTTACGAGACTCCGTATTCTAACAAGTACCTGAGTCACCCAGTGACAGTGGCCGTATTAGGCGGAGTGGGTGTGGTTTTGTTCCTGCTGGGCCTCGCCAGCTTAGGTGTACATCCAGAGCCGATATTCTGCCGCGATCAACCCTGATTTTAGAGACTACTGTATTAATTTTACTAGCATTGATCATGATTCATATTATTGTCACTTCGCAATAATCACCATCATCTGATACTCTCTCGCTTTATGCATTACGTCATTACACGTAGTAATCACGGAGGCGTGGTTTTTACAACATCCGCGTTTACGTACCTACGTACCTGGGGAAGTAGCACCGTTTCTTTTTGTTTCTGGCCACTAGTCATCATGGGAATACGATGGCCGTTCTGCGGGACGAAGCAGAAAGGACCCAAGACAATCAGCATCTTTCTGGGCTTCTTCTTCATGGTGAACTACTGTCTCGGTACGGGATTTCTCGGCGTCCCTTTCTCTTTCTTCTACGCCGGATACCTGGCCTCCATCCCTACTCTACTACTGGTGGCCTTCGTCAGTTGGAACAACGCCGAGTGGACAATAGAAACCATGTCGCGGGCACAGGTAGACCAGCTAGCTGTCAAGTTACAAGTTAGCTATTGTGTTTTGTCTACGATATCTCTCCTATAGGCCCTCGAACATTGGCAGAAAGAGCGTGATGAAAAGGTCCAGTCCTCGGACAGCGAGAGCGAACGTGAGAAACTGATCGCTAGCGGCATCTCTTCCGCGGGCAACTACCTCTCTCACCCGCGCTACGAGATCAGACTCACTCGCAAGTTCGAGCCTACGGAGCTGTGCGAAATCTTCCTTTCGCGATGGGGGAAGGCGCTATACATCACAATCCTCACCGTTTACTCTTTTCTGGTGTGTTGGTCCTTCACCACCGTGGCCGGCTCTGCTTGGGCCACAAACATCCCCTTCTCTTCGTCCTCGCTGCAACGCTGTGGCTCAGAAGACTTTCTCCACGTGTTGATACCAGCCGACCAAGCCTGCCGCAACTCGTACATGCTCTGTGTGTTTTTATTTGCCGTAATCACAGTCCCCCTCTCCCTGGTTGACCTGAAGGAACAGGCTTTCCTCCAGATGATTCTGGGCCTGCTCAGATTTGCCACCATTGCCGGGATCGTCCTGTACTCCATCGTCAGTATCGGAGAAGGCGGAGATGGGTGTCCGATAAGTGATTGGACCAACGACACTCGAAACGAATCTTACTGGAATTTGTCTAACGTTAGCATGTGGACGCTGTCAAGGAGCAGTGGATATGCCGATTTCTCGGATATCGTGTTCCGTTTCGACCCCAAGGGCTGGCTGGTCTCTACCCCAGTGTTTGCGTATGCCTTCATCTTGCACCAGGGGATCCCAGCACTCACTCACCCAATCAGAGAGAAGCATCTGCTCCGGAAACTGATGGTGGCCATGTTTAGTATTGCCACCATCAGCTACTTGTCTCTGGGGGTAGTGGTTCCTCTGTGGTTCAAGGCCAACATCCAGGAAACATGCACTCTCAACTGGGTGAGTGGGTTTTTGCTATACTGTTGTGTTTTTAACACCGAACAGCTGCACTAAAAGTAGAATGAAGTATATATGGTAAAATGTGTTCTAGAATACCATGTGTGTGTGTGTTCATAATTGAATGCTACACAAGAGGGAAGTTGTTAACTACTTTGCCACATATTATACAGGTTGACACGGCCAAGTCAGGGAGTCCAGGGATCAGGGCCCTCTCCTATTACCTCGTCCTCTTCCCCTCCATTGACGTGGCCTCCGCCTACCCCCTCGTAGTCTACACCATCTCCAATAACATCTACACCACTCTATTCTGTCGGGACACCTCGCGAAAATCGAAAACTCCGAAACTAGACTTTGCGCTTCAGCTGGTTATAAAGTTTGTGGCGGCCTCTGTCCCCATCGCAGCCGCTCTCCTGGTGTCCAATTTGGTCTACGTTCTAAAGTACGCTGGGCTGACTGGTTTTTTCATCTCCTTCTTCTTCCCCACGGCACTCCAACTCAGCTCTATCTGGAGGTGCAGCAAAGAGTTTCCTCCCAAGTCCCACAGTGGCACGAGGACACGAGACCACCCGACCGGGTCTGCCAGGAAACACATCTACGATCTCCAGAACGGGTCTCTGGTAGCTGACAAGGAGTGCTCGTCGGGGACGTCAGTTCAGTCGCGGATCTCTCTCATGTTTTCCGGCTACAGGACTCCGTTTTCGAACCGACTCCTGAGCCACCCCGTGTCGGTGGTGTTAATTGGAGGGGTCGGAGTCCTATTGTTTCTGCTGACAGTCACTAGTTTAGCTGTCCATCCCAGACAGCTGCACTGCTCTGACGAACTATGAATTGTTTTCCTTGTCGTGTGTGTGTGTGTGTGTGATAACTATTTGGCAGCATTCCCACATGTGCATAATCATGATGCTACCGACAGTACTAGACGCAAGCAAGTCATTTGAACAACACTCTATATATATAATATTATGTAAGTTAAATGCCAAGTCAAAGCAACTATGTGTATTATACTAGAGAGCTGCGGGGGCCTGAGCTGTCAGCATTCGTTTAAATTACCAAGCTCTAGGTTGTAAATCAAACTTGTGATGTGTTTCGACAGAGTATAATGGTGGCATTATAGGATAGTGCACACTCTGGAAGATGGATCATCAGTTTGCTGAATGACAGGGGCAGATGAGCTGAGGGGAGGGAGGGAGTGGGTGCTGTAACTGTGAAGATGGGCAGTAGCACTCGCAGCAGCAGCAGTAGTAGTAGCTGTCTGGGGGCGATCTGTGAGGGCACCATTGGTTAAAATTTCGGGGGTGCAAATTTTCATGCCCCAGAACAAATTTGTACGTGGCTCACAGCAACTAGCATACAGTTTGCTATCGTTTTTGCGCAATTGGGTGCCATCCCTACACTATAGTGTATACTAACTCACTGTCATAGTTGGCTGGTGTGTCAGTGAGTGTGGCTTGCTGAAGCAAAGCCACCATTGACTCCCCGTCCTCTAGTAGACTGGCATAGTCTAGAGGAGTCCTTCCTTCACTGTCCACTGGATCTCTGTCTGCCCCTGCTCTCACCAAGACCTGTGTATATAATAGTCATGAAAAATGAACGTCAGCACAATGGTACACCGTTGCTCTATAGTCAACCAGATGTTCTGGAAGATTTCGGAACTCATCAGCCGTTTGTTTACACCAGGCATCTTGATGATAATCACAAATGTGTGTTACCTGGGTATTCTTGAGGTGGTTCCCCGCAGCGGAGTAATGGAGTGGGGTACGGAGTAAGGAGTCCACACAGTTGACCTCCGGGGGGCCAGATTTGGGGGGTCGGTGTGTGAGGAGGAGGGAGAGAGGGACGGGGGAGGCAGCAATGCTTGCAAGGTGGAGCGGCAGTCGGTGGTTGCCGTCTCTCTCCGTCAGTAGTTGAGGACACATATCCACCAGAACCTGGGCCAGGGAATGACAGAAGGTCTAATGTATCATTAGGTCTAATGTATGGGCAGTTAGGAATATCACTTAGCTGGCGTAATACATAGGCATCATTGTAAATGTATGGGGCTATAATATGATGGGGGAGTTTTTCCTATTTCCTTGGCAGAGCCATGCTATCAAAGAGCCTATAATATGGAGGGAAAACCTTTGACTATTGTGTGGACAATATACTCTCTCAGACACAATGTTTTTACAGAGCATTGAGGCGGAAAAGAATCTGGCATTGTATATTATTACCCTCGGCGCGCATGCGCAGCGAGGGTACTCTAGTCTGTCTGTGTACCTGTGGAGAGATGAAGGGCTGGCCCGTTTTTTTTTCAACATTGGGTTTTAAAAAATTTTTTTTTGCACTAAACAATCAACGGGCAATACGAAAATTAGTAGAGAGATGAAAGGTTGGCAATTTTTCAACTATATATATATTTTTGGCCTCAAACAGAAATGGGGCTGGCCATTTTTTCAACCTAATCCATGGAAATAGTGCATAACATGCTGTTCTTTTTGATGCGTGGTCAAGACCATCGATTGTGGTGGTGCCACACTTGTGTATGGGTTCCACATTTCTATATAGTGTGCAGAGGGTTTGCACTTTAGTGCTTTTCATTATAATAATTATAGTAGACATGAAAGGCTAAACTCACAGTGATGCACTGGGGAGTGGGTGGCTCCCTCTCAATGGCATACGTCAGGAGAGTTCGTCCCGAGGAGTCAACTTCAACCATCCCAGAACACCTGATAGCACACACCATCAGATATCATTCGGTGATTTTAGTATGCATAGTGAGAAACTTCCGAGAGAAACATTTTTGGAGGAAACTTTGACAGACGACTACTAACACTTCTCTCCCCTGAAACAAAAGCCCCTGCTATTATTACGGTAGCTGTTGTTTTACTTCTTAAGGAGGAGTTTGAGGTGGTGAGGTCTGTTGTAGAAGATGGCCCAGTGCATGGCTGTCAGTCCGCTGCAGTCAACTTGCTTCAGTCCCACAGGCCACATGTAGCTAGACAGGAGAATAGGAGAGTGTTTGTGTGTGTGTGTGTGAAGGATGCTTTGCTAATCACACACGTTTTCTCTCAATCTTTACACAGTTTTACTAGGTTTGATCAGGACGACATACAAACACATACGCAAGAATAGCAAAGTAAGACTCGTGCCAATGCCGAGTGTGAATGTACGTAGAGCTTGAGGCTTAAGATACGGTAGCATAGGAAAGGAACTGGGCTCAAGATAAGGAAGAAAAGGAGACTTACTGCAATAGAAGTTGAAGACAAGCAGTGCTCTCAGGAACTATGGACCAGTGCAGCGGAGAATGACCCTGCAGTCAACTGACGATAAATCGTCTCTGTGACGTGAAACGCACGTACCATTTTGTCAGTTGTAGCGACGGAAGCCTTCTTGGCGAGGAGCACACGCGTGGCTTCCTTGGCGCCGTGGTAACAGGCGACGTGAAGTGCGGTGAGTCCGCTGTCGTCCTGTTTGTCGGGGACAGCTCCGCAGTCTATCAGAGTGGAGCACGAGGCCCTCTATATATGGACACAGGGCAGCATTACCAGAGAGTTCATAAGTTTTGGGACATTCTACAAGATTAATGGGAACATATGGATCAAAACAGCAAGATAAGACGATAAGGTGAAATAGGGATGCAAACAGCAAGCTGACTTCATGATCGATTTGTTGTCTTTCGCCTTATCTCTCTCTCGCTCTCTATCTTGCCTTATTCCCCAGAGCTGCAAACATGAGAGGCGTTCTGCCGTGATCGTCGGTCTGGTCTACTCCAAACATCATGACCAGGTTCTTTATGACCCCCGGGCTCTTGCCTATTGCCACCGCCATGTGCAGTGGGTGGGGATAGTCCTGGGAACTGAGACAGAGGGTATATAGGAGTAACAGATTTGATGAAGTACTTCACTTACTTTTCCAAAGTATGAATGTTGGGAATAGATTGCTGCAGACTTGTACTTGGATTTCCTCCGTCGACTTGTTCTTCCTCTCCTTCCTCCTCTTCCTCGCCTTTCGCCTGCAGATGAGTACGTATATGAACGTGAAGATGTTGCATTGCACAGAAGGTCTACTTGATGTGTTCACATAAACCTGCTGGTACCAACTCACTTCTGCAAGCCAGCTCTCGACTGATGTGTGGCTGTCTGTTGGCACCTCACCCTCCCCCCCACACGGATCACTGTGGTCCACTAGTGGCTCTGTTTCAAATTCCTCTTGAACCATGGCATCGTCCTGTAGACACTCCTCCCTCCCCCGAGCATACGCGAACCCTCCAGACATCTGGAGACAAACGTCGACGAATCTAGACTTTTCTTCCTCCACTGAACAAGATCTGAACCCCCAAACTTTGATCAAATCCAAGTTCTCTAACTTCTTCACTCTCGATTTCTTCTCCTTCTCCTTCTCCATTACCCCTCTCCTCATCCTCACTTGTTGATTTCCTCTGCGAGGTGTTGTGGGTGTGGCCGGAGACGGAGGTGTGATGGGTGTGGTCACCAGAGTCCCGGGCGTGGCTCAGAAGGGCCTGGATTTCCTCTGGTGAGAGAAGCCTTTTCCCTAGTCGAGCCTCTCTGGCGTAGTAGAATAGACTGTCAGCATTTGCAAACACCCTGCAAGCCAACGTATAAACAGTAGTGGGAGTGGCTTAGAGTGTTCACATTGACAATACAGTTTTCCCCAACAACTTCGTGTCTTAGCTCTATTGGTATTGGGTGAAGCAGTAGTAGCCTTGGGGCATTTAACATATTATGCAAGCTAACACACACACACACACTCCTGTTATGCTGAGGGTTTGTTGGGAGGATAGAAACTTTGTTGTGTGTCGGTAAGGCTATATAGGAGCTATATAGGAGCTCACATGGAGCCCTCAGAGTGGAAGATGGCTCCCCTGTCGAGGAGGAGCTGACCAAGAGTAACGGCATCTCTCTCACTCTCCACTCCCTCCACATTGTCCAGCATCCACTGCACTATTCCTGCTCCAGAGAACAGCGCTCCCACATCTGCGGTTTAATAATTGTAGGAGTCATTATGCAGTGGAACCCCTATAATCTGGACACTAATGAGAGACATTCTGGGCTTCAGGCACAAGAACTTTTCTAAGAGGTGTACCTTTAAGAGAGGTGTCCGGGGAATCCTTAGAAAGAGGTTCTATCATGAGTCTGTGGTATTACCTCTTCTGATTTTGACGTCTTGAAGTCTGGTCTCCAGAGCGCGAGGAACGCCTCTGTCAGGGTCCTGAAGAACACCCACCAGCGCATCAATGGTCACTGCACTGGCTCCTCCACCATCTGATGCTCCACCAGTTGTCTTCCTGCGGTGCTGTTTGGCTTGCCGAGCCACCACAAGTATCTTTTCCGCCTCTTGCTCTTCTTCCTCTTCTTCTTCTTCCTCCTCCTCACCTGTCTCCACAGCCTGGGCCAGAGCTGAAGCTGCCAGCTCCATGGCTCGATGCCTGCACGAGAAGAGAGAAAATGAACACTCCACTTTTCAATGTTTCTTCTCTACTGCATATTACAGTTAAATCTCTGAACACCGAAAGAATCAAAAGTATCTCTTTTTGGACGGCGTCCCTTATTCAGCGGTGTATCAGAACCAAGTGTCCTATAACTATTACAGAGTGTGCTCTATTCAAAGGTTTCATTACCTTTCATCATCATTAGCCGTATCCTCTTCTTTCTCCCCAGAGTCACTGGTACTCTGGTACTGCTGTCTCAGTTGCTTCATGTATGCCGACATGAGAGCCCGCTCCGCCAGGTCACGCTTGTTCGGTCTGTTACAAACTTTCCCAGCTCTGGATACTAGCTGTAATGCTGTGGTGACTTCATCCCGCGAGGAAACAGAGAGAGGCTTCCACAGCTCGCACATGAAGACCGTCTTACAGTTTCCACCGACCGCATCTCGCAGGAGTCTAGTGAGCACCGACTTGGAGTAAATGTTATCGCTGACTGGCTCAGGGAGACCTCCCGTGGCGTTTGGTTGGAGAGATTCCACGATTTCGGAAAGTGTGGAGAGCGAGACGACTTTCTTGTCTGTATCGCCGTCTGCTGGTGTGCACTGCAGAGACTGGGGGAGAGCCGAGGAGAGGCGCACGAAGGTCAAGGCCCCGCTGATCGGGGCGTTCATGCTCCCGAACTGCGAGTATTCCACCGTGAGAGTGAGGAGAGTGTGATGGTGGCGAGCCCGGCTCGAGCCCCGGCGGCTCCCAAGCCATTCCACGAGCCTCCGCTCTCGTTCCTGACCGAGGTGCAGCAAATCAACAACCTGAGACGTGGAAACTGCCTCGTGGACCGACGATTGGAGACTGTCTTCGGTGAACGATAGCTCAGCAAATCCGGACGCTTCAGAAATTTTCCCTCCGTTTGTTTCGGAGCTCTCCAGGAGATCGTATACTCTTTCTTCGGCCACGGCTATGAACGAGCAGTTTACGACGAGATTTGCCGCCGAGCGAGAGCTCCGCGACTTTCGCAGGCACGCAAAGATCTGCTCCGCGCCGCGGACGACGGCATCCTGCAGAGCCCCACGAGCCTTTTCCGCGCTTCCACCGCCGACCTCTAGCGAGACTAGAGTGCCGTTGTAGCCCAGTAGCGTGCTCTCTACGACCTTCTTGACGCCGCTCCTGTACACTGTCCTGTCCTCCTCGCTGGCAGCAAACACCGAGTCGAAAGTGAAGGACGATTGTGGTGCAGGAGAAGTGGGAGGGGCTGGTCCCAGTGATACGCCCTTGCCGTCAGACACAAGAGAGAGTTGTAGCTCCTTATCAGACGACTTGAACACTTCCTTCTCGCTCTGCCTGACCCTAACGATGGCTGTTATACGCTCAGACATCTTCACCAACACGCTCCCGTACACACGTACCTACGTACCTACGTACCTAGCTAGCTAACAGCTAGCTCAGCCCCGCCTTTCTTTTGTTAATTTGCAATGCGCATGCCCATGAATTACCATGGAAACCTCACGTGTATGGGCGTGTCCTAACAACAGGAGCGAGCAAAATGGCCGAAAAGCGAGGTTCCATCGCTGCGCAGCTGTCCGACTTGGCGCGCAACTCCAGTCTCTTCTCGACAGCCAAACGAGACTCGGCGAGTCGGAGCGTGTTGGCCTTCTCGCAGGAGCCCGGAGACCCCGGGTTTCGCCGCAAGCCGCGACCCAAGTACGAGAACACGTACCGGCTGGAGCCGGCGAGGAAATTCGAGCCAGGGAAAGTGAAAGCGATCATTGAGGACGTTCTGGCGTCGCAGCTGAAAGAGAACGAGACGTACGACCACAATGCAGATCGCCAACTAGTCAAATCCCTGGCGGAGATTATCAAAGGTCGCGTAAAGGAGCTCAACTACGAGCGCTACAAGATCGTGTGCTCGGTGACCATCGGGCAGCTGAAAGAGCAGGGGATGCGGATAGGGAGTCGCTGCTGCTGGGACGCTAAGTGGGACTCGTTCGCGGAGGGCAGCTTCAAGAACAAGAACATATTCGCAGTGGCTACAGTCTGGGGAGTCTACTATGAGTAGCTACATAATAACATTCTATCTACATTTCCACAGTCAATACACTCCGTCTTCTCTCTCTCTATTCGTATGTAACAATCTGTTCCTAAATACCGGTGTGTGCCTCCACAGTTTGCTGAATCTTGCTCTTTCACCAACCAAGTTTTAGCCTCCATTCTTCCAACCACGTAACCCCATTCTTGCATCTCTAGTTCTCATCGTCCTTATTTCCCACCTCTTTCTCTCTCTTCTCCTTCTCCTTGGCTAGACCCCATGCCCAGTGTAGGTCGTCTGACCACATCTCCTGGTCAGACGGGTCCAAATGAACTCCCTTCTCAAAGTTTCTAAGAGCCTGGGAGTACAAATTATTGTATTTCGTGTTTTGCCTGGTGTCCAAAATGTTAGGGTTGCAACTTACCATGTGAACTTCTCCAATCCCCAGCTGAGCCCGCCTAGAGTTTGTCTTGCTGTGATCCATGTAGAAGAAAACTCCACTGCTTTCTCTGCACTCTGAACTGCTTCAAACACCTCTCCCACCTCCATAAGAGCCTGAGTGTGTATGCCTAATTTGTAATCTCTCAAGACAAACCCACCTGAGCCTTCATTTCGTGCAAGGTGGCGGAATTTGGCGTGAGCTCAAGAGCTTCGTTCCAGTACTTTATTGCCTCCCAGTAGCGCCCGTTTTCAGCCAGAGTCCCACCCTCAGCTTGGAGCCTGGACCCACAAGCACCGTTAGAATTAGCTACCCATCAGCCAAAACCAACTAGCTAGCCTCTTGCTCTTGGTCTTGTTATCTTCCAGGAGAATGAGCCGCCGTCTTTTTGTAGCCGTAAGCCAGTCCCCGCACTCCTTCTCCCAACTATCTTCGTCTTCATCCCTCTCTCCGCCGCTGAAAGCATGAGCAGAGCTCGTTTTGAGGCTGCTCTTTCTTTTCCATCCGAACGAAGTCATGATTCCAAACAAAGCGCACCAGGTGCGCTTCAATTGGAAAATGCTGAACTGAGCTTTTTTTCTGCGACCAGCTCAGCTGTGCGGTTTCTCTCTCAGAGAGAGAGACAGGTTGATGGTGCGCGTGGCTTTCGTCCACCCAGACCTTGGGATAGGAGGTGCTGAACGGCTGGTGGTGGACGCTGCTCTCGCCCTCAAGTCCCGCGGCCACACTGTCCGTCTGTTCACCGCCCACCACGACCCGAGCCACTGCTTCAGAGAGACGACAGATGGGAGCCTGGAGGTCACGTGCCGCGGGGACTGGCTCCCGAGACACTGCTGTCATTTGGGCTACGCCTTCTGGGCCTACGTCCGTATGATCTACGTCGCCCTCTACCTGGTCCTGTTGAGCGGAGCAGAGTTCGACGTGGTTTTCTGTGACCAGATCTCGGCGTGTGTCCCGGTCCTCAAATGGAGCCAAGCCAGAGTCCTCTTCTACTGTCACTTCCCCGACCAGCTCCTCACGACTCGCCGCAGTCGGCTCAAGAAGCTGTACCGCTGGCCCATCGACTGGGTGGAGGAAACCACCACAGGGAAAGCACACGATGTTCTCGTGAACAGCAACTTCACGGCACAGGTGTTTCGCTCCACGTTCCGGTCTCTGGTCCACGTCCAGCCCACCGTTCTTTACCCGTCTCTGAATTTCTCTGCTTTTGACCGGCCGCCTGAGGATCTGGAGGATGTGGTGCCCCCGCAGGCAAAGGTCGTGTTTCTGTCAATCAACAGGTACGAGAGGAAAAAGAATCTTCCCCTGGCAATTAGGGCCTTCTCGCGGCTGCAGAGTCAACTCCGGGAGGGCGAGAGGCCAACTGTACATCTTGTCATGGCCGGTGAGTTTTGAGGCCTGATTTTCTGTGTAACTTGCTTTCTGAAATCTCATTTCTTGTCTGCGCTATACATGCGTCGAAACAATCCAAATCAATGTGGATAATGTGTGTTGAGCCAATACACTGTATAGTTGATGCAGATTAACTCTCAATTGAGCCTCTGTCATAAGAAATACTTTTTAAAAGTCTACGCTTGGTACAGACCCACTCCCGTGTGTGCGTACATCAAACCCACGTTCTCTCAGATCTTGTCGCAAGTGTTTGAACATTGAGTGTGTGCCGACAGGGGGAGGAGAGGGAGGGGAAGAGGGAGGTACGAGAATCACTTACCTCTGATTCGGACAACTATATACAAATTTCCTGCTGCACGTTATAATGCAAGAATGCAATGATTTCGCGTGTTTGATGACACTGGCTAAAGACACGTGTTGTATGTTTACATGCTGTGTCTGAACAAAGGCCGTTACCAGTGTTCTCAGAAGTGTAGCCACATTAGGCCTGAAGCACTAGAAATGAAAACCTTTGCCAAAAGCACGAATTTTGTACCAATTTGTAGAGTTTACACGTACTTAGGTTACGGGTGTTTGTTTGTTTACTTGCCGTGCAGGGGGTTACGACGATCGCGTGGTTGAAAACAGGGAGCATTATTTGGAACTCAGAAGACTTGCAGAGGAATCGGGTGTCGCTGATAACGTAACGTTTCTCCGTTCGTTCAGTGATGCTCAGAAAGTTGCCCTACTTTCGGCCTGCACTGCTCTGATCTACACGCCATCCAACGAACACTTTGGTATATGCCCACTTGAAGCCATGTACATGGAGAGGCCAGTGATTGCTGTTAATAGTGGGGGGCCCCTCGAGACAGTCATTGATGGAAGGACGGGATTCTTATGTGAACCAACGCCAGATGCGTTTGCAGTAAAGATGGCTCATTTCGTGCGAACGCCAGGGGCAAGGAGGGAAATGGGGCAGGCTGGAAAAAGGAGAGTTGTGGGTTCTTTTTCCTTTGCTGCATTCACGAGGAAACTGAACGCGATTGTGACTCGGCTTGCAAACAGCAGCACTCGCCACTGAAGACATGTTGTATATTTGTGAATACCATTGTACACAATGTTTATTTTGAAACGTACAAAGATTCATTTGTTTACGACGGAGGTTCTCAAACTGAGGTCTCCCAGTATCATTATACCGTCCTATGTGTGTGTTTGTGTGGGCCAAATGTTTTTGAAATCACTTTCAGGTTATACCTTCACAGCACATTAAGCAGCCCAGAAATGTAATATAATTATACCTCAGTTGGTCTGTTAATTGATGGCATAAGTGAATTGTACATGATACTCAAAGAACTACATACATAACTATTGCTTGGGTGTGCAAATTGTCAAAAAATTCCCGGGTAGCTAAGGATTATACTCGACATGGGAGTGTTTCAATCTATACATATGGACTCTGACTACAGTTCGTTAGTCGGGAGCTCTTTCTTCCGAGCCCCATTGCCTGCCTCCTGGGTAGAGTAGTTTGCTGACTCACTGTGTGTTAGTTTACTGCTACCTGGAGGCAAGAAAAATAATTATAGCGAGGTACAATGAACTATTATGATAACTATTATGATAACAGAGTTTGCATCTCCCAGCAAAATAGCACCTCCTAGGGAGCTTACTAGTCTACTCCTAGGGAGCTTACTAGTCTACCTCTTATATAGGGAGTTTCCTAGTCAAGAAATCTTGCATACTGTGTGTGTGCTTGTCACAGGCACTGACAAACAAGTGCTGCAGTCACACTGACAGCTGGTAATCTCTCCATCCACGCCTTCAATTCCAACACTAAGTCAACATGCCTTGTAGTTACACAAACAAACTAGGGACTATAGTGATCTCTGAGCCTGCCTACCTTGAGAGCCTAAGGTGTTCATCTTAACCCCCGAGTCTGGGTCATTGATTGTGTGATGAGTGCTAAAGTGGGTGCTGTTTCTCTCAGGCTGGAAGAGTATGATGATCAGCTTCGGTCCAAAAATAAAGCAAAGGACGCCGAAAGCACTCAGGATGATAAACAGGGAGACGGCAGCGTTCTGAATCTCTGGACGAGACTGCGTCGTGAAGTAAGTTGGTATTAGTCCTAGCCAGACCACGAGGAGAGAGAACGTGCAGAACGAAATGTACTTGGCCTCGTTGAAGTTCTCCGGGTATTTGAAGCTGAAAGCTCCGAGAACCGTCGCGACGGTTATGATAGCAGTCTCATAGAGCAGTGAGAGGACTAGTACAGCGATTGACTCTTGTTGGCATGTGACAATAACTTCTGGTTCCTTGAGAGTGTTTTCGTCAAATGGATACAGATGAAGTACCTCGGGATGTATGAACGCCAGCGATACTACAATGACAAGCATCTGAACACCGACTATTATCAACGTGAAACTGACTTGAAAGGGAGGAGACACGAAACGAGGAGTGTACGTCAGATTTCGCTTGACCCCGTAGAAAATCCTGGCCACCCTCTGTACCTTGATGGCCAGTGCACCAAACATTAGAGAATAGCAGAACCAGATGCCCAGTCTGTTCACCAGACACACGGGGATCGAGGGAGGAGCCACGTAGAAGAACGGGAGGATGAAGCTGCAGGCAATGCCGATCAGGAGAAGAGTCATCTGCTCGCGACCAGAGGATTTCACGATGGCAGTTTTCCGGAATATCACGAATATCACTGCAGTGAAGGCGACGAAGATGAGTCCAATGCAGGCGAGAATGAGGCTGGGGATGGCCCAGGGATCGCTGTACATGGGCGACACCATGGGGAGAGGAATGCAGCTATTACTGCCGGTAGTGGGACTGTTTCCCCACATCTCTCGCACTTCCTCCACGAAACAGGTGCTGCAATTCTTGGCGAGCGGCTGCGAGGAGTAATTTCTCCCCAGGCAAGGCTCGCATATACTGCAGCAGGATCCGGGAATTTTCCTGATGTATTCTCCAGGCATACATCCTCCACACCCTGATTCCACTGGCTCCGTCCTTGGTGCTCCATCACTCATAAGACCAAACTGAAGAGGGACGTTGTCTTTGAGAATCAGCTGTTCACCGACATTACCACTGACCCACGTCCCAACACTAACAAACTTGTAGCTCACTCCTCCACTGGCGGAGAAGTTTGCCTGATAGTTCAGAATCTCGTAGAATCCGTCCACACTCCCAGACTCGTCAAACGTGATAGAGTTTCCGGTTATGCTGGTAAAGTTGACATCGTTGAGGTACGAGAGAAGAGAAGCACCGTTGAGTTCCCGAGACTGCCCAAGACATGAACCGTTTTCTTTGAACCACAGAAACGGTGCTGAATCTGTTTCATTGCAGTGGTCCACTAGAAAGTTGTGCAGAGCGTGAGCAAACGCATAGACTGCGTCCACGACCAGTGGTACGAAGTTACCTTGTTCGTAACGCGAGAAGCTCTTGATGTCAGTATCATTTTCACACTCGTCTTCCAAAGTACAGTTTGCAAAGGCCGCGAAAAACTCTGGAAACCAGTTGTTGCGCGTGTTTGAATTGATGGTGAGTTTAGAGATGTACTCTTCAAATGCGGGGAGGTGTTCGGTTAGAGGTGCGACTCCAAAAAGACCGGCCGCTGTGTCGTTGAACTGGTGAACAAGATCAATGGAGCGAGCCCACGCGTCGCTGGCAATCCAGGTGAAATTTCTTCTCATAGTCTCGTCTCTGTTTACTCTCGTCAAGACCTCTCCCACCGATTCCTGGTTGGCAAAGATGATGACTACCCTTGCTCTGGAGAGCCGCAGGTCTTCAACTAGACTGTCATATTCTCTCTCTGAGAACGTTGGTGGAATACCCCTACGGAGGTCTATGCAGATGTTGTTTGTCGCCGAGACATTCACGAACTCGTTGATTCCCGCGGATCCGTACGTGTCTTCGGAGTGAAGGATGGAGACGTAGTTCCAGTTGAAGTGCTGCAGAATGTCTATCATTGCCAATGCTTGCAGGTCGTCAGAGGGGACCGTGCGACGAAAGTAGCCGTAGCGCGAACGGTCCGTCAGTAGCGGGCTGGTGGACGCGTAGCTGACCTGCGGCATGCGAAACAGACGACCGAGCGAGGCCACAGGGACGGACACACCGCTCCCGGCAGCTCCGACTATGCCCGACGTGGGAACCGCTGCGTACGGCACCGTCCCGTTGACGGCGGGAGAAGCGTCAGGTAAGGCCTCGCAGCTCTCGATGTTGAGGTTGCTTCCAGTGATTATGAGGTCGATGGCCTCGTCCAGACCCACCGTCTCGCTGTTGCAGGTGTCTCGTATGTCGTAGCCTAGATCCACCCCCGGTAGAAGGTCGGGGTCGGCGTTGATGGTGTCGATAGCAAACAGCATCGCCTCCATTCGCTCCAGTCCGCGCTCCTGCCGAATGTCTCCGCAGGCAGAACCCTGGGAAGGGTCTGCAGAGTGAGTGTGGATGGGGAAGAGCCCGCCAAGCACGAAGGTCGCGTTCTCTCGGCTCCGAACTCCGCGGATACGTCCTCCGTCTTCGTCGTCTCGTACCACCTCCGACGTCGTCACGTTGAACTTGAACTTTCCCGCCCCTGCTGCTAGCACGAGGCACACCATGGAGAGATGCAGGGCCAGCGGTAACAGCTGCATCATGGATCGCAGACACGACTTGCACCACCAACAACGCGCAGCTCAGTTACACCGCGGTCTCAGTGCTAGCTTTGCTTTTTCGCAGGGCTTTTGCTGCTGCTCTACGTTTGCAAGCAGCTAGCTCTCTAGAAATCATTAACGTGTCCGGAAGTGACGGGTTATATTATTGCGAAAACGATCGATGCAGACGTCGTTTTTCTTAGCCCTTCAAAGGTGAGCCGGCCGGTGTGGGTGTGGTGGCCGGATGAGCGACGTGCCAATTTATGCGCATGCGCAAAACAATGCGTGTTTGTTTACGAGCAAGAAACGCTGGCTTTTCAGTTTTGCATAACTGTGTCATTATAGGACTCAGAGTAATCATTAACTAGTCACTTAGCCAACTTGACAAAAAATACGTATGCACTGCGCCTTGCGGTTTTAGCGCTACCAAAACGACCACGCCCACTTCTCCAAATCGGGACACACACGGCAGCATGATACAGTCGAGTCGAGCAAGCCCCGAGACGACGCAGTCACAGTCTGTGGGTGGTTGGTGACTGCTGGACCCCAGGAGACGAGAAGATGAACGTCGATAGCGGTGAGTACCTAGTTATGTTGCATAAACTTCAGTCGTCTGGCTCTTCAGTCCGTGTTGCAGCGTGATCGCGTGGGTCTTCGGCGCGTGTATGTAAAGAAGCCTGGGAGTGTGTGGTGGGCGTTCGTCCTCAGTGGTCGCTACTGCATGCTGTTTAGTCTTCGCTAGCCTGAACCCAGCCCTGCTCAGCGGCAGCCGTTACACTATAGTAGGGAGTTGTCTACACTCCTGCAGGCCCAGCTTCACGCACGGTGGATTGCTAGCAAAACAGTAGCTAGTGCTGCCTAATGTTTATCTATCCTCCCCCTTTTTTCTTATATTGACAGAGAATCTCTGGTACGTAGAGCCTCACACACTCTCCCACTACTCGGCATTCTTCTACCACTTGAACCCCTCAGGACACCCACTTACAGGTGAACTTCTCCCTCCACCCCTCTTCCTCCACCTCTCCCTCCTCCCTTTCTCTCTCCGCCGCTAACTCTAAGATTGCACACATCGCCTTCCTCCCTGGTTCATTGTGGTGGGCACATCATCTTCATGTATGGTAAAGAAACTTGGCTCTGAATTGAACTGAAAGTCACAGAACCCGAAATAGACTGCAGATAGTATATATTTAGTATCGTAGGCAGTTTGGGAATTAAGATAAGAAGAAGCAACGCGTTCTTCTCTGCAGTTAGCTCCAGCAACAACAGCACCTTTGCCTCACATCCTGACACACACACACACACACTCTGCTTCCTCCTTATGGCAGCCAGGTTGACTGCTTTACTGATGACAACTGCACATGCAATCCCTCGACACGTCGTAGTGCAAGACACCTCTCAGTGTAGTCGCTCTCACTGCATAAGCCACACACTGTCCCCTTGCTTATAGCTACAGGTGTCAACAGTGGTAAACTGCTCCTCCTTGCCCTGTCGCCCAGCCTTTTGCACACCTAATATATTGCTAGACTGTAGCGTTCGGTGTGTCTCCACACACCTCGATATGCTGGAGGGCACACGTGAGTGTGTGTGGGTGAAACAGCGTGTATTGATCGAAACTGATCACAGTTGGCAACTGGTCACTTCCTTTCTAATTAACACATAACAACTACTTTAACCTTTCAACTGGACAGGAATCAAGGGTTCAGACTGTACAATCTGTACAGCGTCGTCACCCACAACTTGACTACACTAATAATGATTGTCACTGTATACAAAATTTGGTTTCTGCCCTGTTTGTTTACGGTCCATCAAACTGTATTGCAAGTGTACTCTGCCCACACCAGTGGTGCGCTGTAGCAATGGAGACCCCCTCAACACACCAGTGATCAGTAGTTGATATTTTGCAACACCCTGGGCAACACATGGCTGTAGAACCAACACTGCGCAAAATGACTTTGCCCACAATTGTGCATAATGTACAACTCGCTTCTCTGGTGTGGGCGTGGATCCGCCGTCCACAAGAAACTGAACGCCTTGCAAGATGGCTGTTTTCTAGACTTATTTTGCTTCGCTCGTTGCAGACTGTCGAGGACCGGACTTTTCTTTCCTTG